ACACACTGCCCCTGTGGCCCAGCACAGAGCAACATCACAAAGCAAAGGTGATGTTATCTAATGAGCCACGAGGATCGCACTGACCCCACCCCCCACCCCACCATGCAGATGAAGTGATGTCAACCAAGTCCATTCTTTTGGATGAATCCACTATGTGGATTTATCCATAGAAACAATATCTCTATTTGGAATTGAGCACAAATAAATAGTCCCTCTCCCCAAACAAAAAATTATTTTGCTACCTTCCTCTGTCCCTTGGAGTTATTCTGCCAGGAGCTCGTGTAGCCGACCTACCTCCCAAGTTTCTCATTTATTTTGCATTTAGAAAAACAACATCTATTTGGCATTTTCATTTTTCTCCGTCCTTTGAAAATCAGGTCAACATCGATTGACGGTGCATTGCAGCTTGTTCATTAAGCACATGGGCACTCGCTTTATGCAACCCAAGTTTAATCGCTGGGGTTCTGCTGTCTATGAGCCACAAGATCCTGAGCAAATTACTTCGATCTTAGTTCTTGGTGTCCTGGTCAGCAAAATGGGAATAACAGGGAAGGAAGGCTCTAGATTGTAGCACTGTTGGGCTGATTGGATGGCAAGTGTGTAAACAACCTTAAGAGGGATCTGATACCTAGTAGGTGCTCAATAAATGGTTGCTCACCTTACTATTATATTCCTGGGCACTAGTTTCCAGAAGCTGGGGCAAGGGGGTTAAGGAGAAGTAGGTCACCTCTTCAAGCCGTCCTCACTGCTTCGTGGAAACAGGTGGAAACAAGCAAGAAAGGGAGCATGAGGCATACAAGAAGTGCCCAGAGTGGCCTGTGGGAGAACAGAGGGAGACATCAGTAACTCTCCTGGGAGCTACAAGAAAAAGCTTTATGAAGAGACAGAATACCTCCGGCGCTGGAGGATGAAGTGAACAATGGTTTGATGGGAATGAAGAGATAATGATAAGAAAACCACACACAGAGATACAAGTACAGTCCCTGAATTATAGTGGAGACCCAGTCTTAATAACTACTGTAGAATAGATGGATCCATACAAGGAGACCATGGTAGCCTCAACACAATATGTTCCCTCGTTTTAGGAGGTCCCCCCAAATCACTGGTGAGGGGGTTGCATATTCCAAAACACCCCTCAAAATCTGTGCCAAGCCGATGACACGATTAAAAACACAGAATGCTTTTGGAAATAAGCTATTGCCGCCCACCCCCTGTGGGCTGAATAAGGCTAGAAGCTCAACAGGAAGGAGAACTTTTGATCTCATGTGCTATCCAGGCAACCTATCATAACTCCCTCCTACATGAAAAGGACCTCCGGAGTTCTTTGTGCAGATGGGATGCTGACCCCGGGCTTTGACCTTTAAGTTCAAGAAATTCTTGGAGTCTCTCTGTGTAGCAGGCTAGGCTCATTCTCAGTGTGAGTCATTTTGGTCTGATTGGGTCCACTCTTCCAAACCCACCCCTGCCCCTCCACTCCTTGGCCTGCCTTCTTTTTGCTGCTGGATAAATCACCCCAGGACAGATCTAGGTTGAAGGACGATTTTCATAGGAAAGTTCCATCTGCCTTAAACCCTTTCATGTATTCAGACTGAGTGCTCAGGCCCCCAAGGAGAAGGAACTGAGAAAACAGAGAAGTGCCTTCACTGCCAAGTTTGCTAGTATGGTCATTAGCACCGATGGCTAGGGGCATTAAGGACAGAGAGTGGACACACCTCCCCTTTCTCTGCTCCTGCTGCTGCTGGGTGGGGTCTGCAGAGGAACCCACCCAGACCTTGTGGACCTGCTCTGGGCTCCCTACTCCTCAGAAGGATTAGTCCCCAGGCAGGTGTTTCAGGACAGCTGGGAAGGCAGTTGATCCCCAGGCATCCAGGAAGGGAAAAGAACGTTGTTCCTTTTCCAGGGAGGGGAGAAAAAGGTGGCTGTTCAGGTGGTGGGCCCTCACTCCCAACCCTCCCAAGGACTCTGGGAAATGTTCACCCATTAACAAACTGAGACATCTACGAATACGGCTACACACAGAGTTGTCATTATTTCTATGAAAAACCTAGTTGTGTCTATGGCCCCTTTCTTAGGAGATGGCAGAACCCAAGTCCGGAGGAATGGGATGGAGACACTGTGTGTCACGCCCCAAAGACAGACAGTGAACGGATGAGAGGAGGGAATTTCCGGTTTCAAGTCCCGCTGGCTCTGGGATTCTCTGCAAGGTGGTGACCTGTCCTGGGATCCACCATGAATTTCATTTTGTTGTATTTCTTTTCTTTCTTTCTTTTTTAGTTTTCCACAACAAAGCAAACCAAATAATGCTAGCAGCGGTGTGTGGAGTTAGGAGGCGGTTAGAGCGATCTCAGGGAGCATCTGGAGCTTTTCTAGATGCCCTGGCGTGATTCTAGAGCCCTGGTAGCATCGTGATTACAATTGGGCTGCCATCCAAAAGGTTAGCAGTTCAAAGCCACCAGCGGCTGTGGGAGAAAGTCAAGGTTTTCTACTCCTGTAAACAGCTCCCCAGGCAAGAGAGAGAGGGAGAGA